GCAACACGTTATCTTGAGGTTATCTTGAGATGATTTCGGGGGCTTTTAGTGTCCCCGCGGCCCGGTCCTCGACCAGGCCTCCACCCCCAGGAAGCAGCCCGTGACAGCTGACTAACACCCAGTACCTATTTTACTGCTAGGTAACAGGGGCATAGGTGAAAGAAACTCTGCCCATTGTTTCTCGCCGGCGCCTGGGATCGAACCCGGGACCACAGGATCACAAGTCCAGCGTGCTGTCCGCTCGCCCTAAGTTATTTTATAATTGGAATTAACAAGGCAATTCTCCATACTACTGAGGTTACCTTGAGGTGCTTCCGGGGCTTAGCGTCCCCGCGGCCCGGTCGTCGACCAGGCCTTGAAAATAAATTAATATTTACCATTCTAGTCACAGAACACCGCTCTTCCTGTTGTTCTGTTAACACTGTTGCAAACTCTCAGCCTGCAACAGGAGTCAACAGGAGTCTGTTCATGTACTCACCTGTGTAAACAAAATCATGTTAGTTCCACCAGACTAAATTAGTTATTTTATATTTTACAAATCCTAGTGTTTATAACTAATAGTTCACATAACTTATATTCAATAATTATAGGCAGTGTCTAATCTGGTTGTGTTGTCTAGTTCTTCCCTATGAAAAAGTGTTCAGAATTAGTGGCTAAAAATGGTGCCTTTTTCGTTATCAATTAGATTTTCTAAGCACTACTACAGTGATCCAATAATACTTAATTTCAAGATTTATCATTATCTGATATATTAAAATATCGTTAAAATTGTTTAATTATCAAAGGGAAGCGCCAAGCCATTACGACTTTATAGCACGAAAATGGCTTGGTTAGCCATTTTTAGAATTAGAAAGGTTAGAATTAGAATTTAGAAAGGTTAGAATGGTTTAATGAGCTTCACCTATCATTCCTAGGCAAGGAATGATTATTTTTTTTCTGGTAAATGAGAAACTTTCAAATATGTCATTCATTTAGGGTCATGATTCTTTAGGAAAGGATTAAAGGTTCTAAATACTGATCTCGTGGTATTTTAATAATGAAAGCAAATTGCCAATACAAATTTCTTTATAACACTCTTGAGAAAAAAACACATTTTTGGCACCGTAAAATTTTTACTCAAATGTCAGAAAAGTGAAATATCTTCAATACACTTGATATCAATTTACCAATAGCTGTACATCATAACTTAATATTAACTACTTAATTAAAACCAAGTCAGAAACATAGAAAATCTGATCAACTAAGAATCACTTAAACTAATTAACTAAGTTTAAAAAAATTCAGACCATTTACGGGAGATAAAATATCCTCTTAAATTTGATAAGAAATACAGCTAAGAAAATCTTCATACAGTGAAAGATCTAATTTTATGATTATTGTTGCTTAGCTTAATCACACCTTAAATATTATAATTAATATTTTCTTTGTTATCCAAGACTATGGAAGTTCAGACACCAAATTTTAAACCAGTTTCGAACTAAGTAATCTACCGCCTCACAATAATGGTTAAATTAAAATACAAAATTAACAATAGCTTGAGCATCCGTGATATTTACCAAACCAATTTTCCCATTAATCATAATAATATTCGACAACAAATAAGTAAAATATTATTAAATTATTAAATTTATTATTAAATTTCGTTTCAATGATTAAATTTCGATGACTTCACTTATCTCTGTTCACACGATCACGGTGAATAACATGATTGAATAATTTTTTGTAGGAAACATTAAAAAATTTGTCTTTAAATTAAAATAGCTCTTTATCCCTTCCAGTTGAGTTAGTCTTTATTAAAATAAAAAATACAGCCTTTGATATGACATTCTGCAATTATTTAAAAATTTCATTGATTTAAATAACAATGGTCATTTGCGTGCAGAGAAGTGCAATTAGCTAATCCAATTTTCGTCACTGCCCCTAATTGCATACTAAAATATTTTTTTGTATCGTGTTCATTGTGTAGAATGTTTATAATACTGAAATCCTGAAATACATTTGTTCCAATTCACTGTCAAGTGTAATTTCAAGAAACCACTTTATTTTCCCCCCTTTCATTCCTCGATATATTACAATTACTTATTAAATCCAAGCACTGATCCATAGCTCTATCCAATAATAGTTGAAAGCATGATACTCAAACAACTGTCACTAACATGATATATCTTGAGATGATTTCGGGGCTTTAGTGTCCCCGCGGCCCGGTCCTCGACCAGGCCTCCACCCCCAGGAAGCAACCCGTGACAGCTGACTAACTCCCAGGTACCTATTTACTGCTAGGTCACCTCGTTGCTCCAATATATTGGAGCTCCAATATATTTCCTCGTTGATATACTTCAAGTGTGACTTCTTTGTGCATCTGAAGCTGTATTGATATGGTTGAATTACTTTGACTACACCAGAATGCTTGGGGGGTTACGGTCAAACTTGCACTGCCTTCAGTAGAAGCCTCCAGACGGCTTGAGGATTCAGTGGAATCCTAGGTTGTATAACTTACAGGTCGTGGTATAAGGGGTAAGGTATGCGGCTGGGAGTTCCTTGACCGCTGGTTCGAGTCTCCTCATTGCTGCAATTGATGGTCTCGATAAAGCTTCACGTAACCCTATCAGTATCACGTATCATGTATCAGCTAGATAATTCGTGTGTGTGGCATCTCTCCAAAAGGGGAGACATGTCTTCTCTTCTGAAAGCCTATAAAGCCTGTTTTCCCATGCCCATGGGTACAATGATACGCTATAATGAATAATATTATAGTGTCCTATTTTTTTCTTTCACCAAAATAA